GAAGAAGAAAAAGAAGACCGTGGCAACGACCCACACAGGCAGCCTTGTCTCTGTTCTTGTCCAAGGGCAGGGAACCATGTGAATGGCCGACCCTCCTGCTGCTGTGCAGCCTCATCTCTCCTGTAACTTTCTCACATTGGAAGCCAAACTTTTGGAGCCAAAGCATGATAACCCAGAGTATGCGGCATTCAGTGTCACTATGGCTCATGTCCCCAGGGGACAGACTGGATTGGACGTTGCTAAGGCAATAGACTCAAAAGTGTTCTCACCACAAAAAAATGGCAAGCACGTGAAAATGGCAAGTCTCAGAGATGCGGATGAGCTTGATTTAGCTGTCCCACGGTGTATGGGTGTATGCGTATGCAGCCACACGTTGCCTGAGGATGTCTCAGAGAACAGCAGGCCTCATATAGGACAGTGGGTCCCGTAAGATGGCAGTGGAGCTGAAACAGTCCGTGACCTAGAGATGTGACTGCCATCGCATCTTAGTTGCATTACTCCTATGTTTGTGGTGACGCTGGCACCAAACAGCCTACTGCCTCACCAGTCACATGAAAGCAGAGCATACACCATTCTGTACATACTGCTTGGTAACAACTCACGCTATCATTGGTGTATGTATTTACATTATTTTAGAATGTACTTCTTTCACTTTTTAAAAAAAAGTTCACTGTAAGCTGGGTATGGTGGTGCATGCCTGTGATTCCAGCAACTCAGGAGGCTGAGACAGGAAGATCACAAGTTTGAGGCCAGCCTCAGCAAAGTTGAGATCCTGTGAGACTTAGTGAGACCCTGTATCAAAATGAAAAATAGAAAGGGCTGGGGTATAGCCCACCTGGGTTCAATCCCCAGCACCACTACCTCCACCAAAAAAAGAAATTTATGTTAGGACACTAGGCATGCTACACTGGCCGCAGCCTCCTGCATCTCCTGTTGACCAAGTCTCTTGATTGCATCTAGAGGGTCTGGGCCACCTTGGTTTGTGTAAATGCATTCTATGTTTGCACAGCTCCAAGATTGCCCAACAATGCAATTTCTCAGAATGTAAGCCTGGGTTAAGTGACACGTGACTGTATCACAATACCACGAGAGCATCATAAAAATTGATTATTTTTTTTCTGTCAATTAAAAGAGTCTAAATGAACCAGGAAAATATAATGACTTCAGAGATGCATCATTCACACAAGCTACAGTGTGAAACATCTCGGGTGTCAATCACAATTCTTTTGGCTGCAAAGAACAAAATCCCTACTGATAGGGCTGGGGTTGTGGCTCAGCGGTAGAGCGCTTGCCTTGCACGTGCAAGACCCTGGGTTCGATCCTCAGCACCACATTAAAAAAAAAATAAGTGAAATAAAGGTGTTGTGTCCATCTACAACTAAAAAATAAATGTTAAAAAAATCCCTACTGGTAAAAAACTATATGAAGAAGAGATGTGGAGTGATGAGAAAATAAATGAATCTTCTCCATTGAGCAGGGATTGTCCTGTACAACAAGACAGGAGGCTGATTTGCTGTCTTGGTGTAACTGAGGAACTGGATCTGGGTAACCCCAAGCCCTGGTGACCTCAGCTCCTTGGCGTGGTTTCCTTGTCTTCTCCAGTTTCTGAGATGGTCTCAGGACTTCCCACCCAACGACACCCAGCTGAAGAAGAAAGTTCTAGACTTTTTATCACAAAAGATGTTACTGGGGTCATTGGTGACCCTCTGAGTTCCAGAGCTGGGGCAAGGAAACACCAGATGAGCCTGCAGCACTATAATTTTTTTAGGCCAGAATATCAGGTGATCAAGGCATGATGGGGACAGTCACAAGGCAGAGCAGATGAAGTGAAGGTGCTTTCTTTGGCTGCATTTGGGATAATTTGAGAATTAACTCATTCTGTTCCACCAACCCAACTGTGGACCAATGGCTAACTGTGGAACCCCTTTAAAAACTTAAATGTAGTATATAATGTAATTATATAACAATATAATTATAATTCTTATACCAATATTAATGTAAATATCATTAACAATGATTATTATATTGTTACTATATATTAATTAGACACTATAATAAATTTATATACAAAACATAAGTATATCACATAAATATTTTAATATAATGAATAATAATGAATTAATAATTACTAATGTTTTATTTTATTTATTTTTCTTATTTTATATCTTTTATGTGTTCCTGAGGACCGAACCCAGTTCCTTACACTTGCTAGGCAAGTGCTCTTCCACTGAGCCACAACCCCAGGCCCATGATTATTGATATTTTATATCAGTATAGCTCTAAGCTCTAGATTATGATTTCCAATCTCCTTTAAGGTGCCTGTGTCGATTTTGTTGCAATACTCGCAGAACTGAAAACTTGGGACTTGATGGATTGACATAAATAGGAATAGGAATAGTCTATAATTGATATAATATATGTATTAACTAATATTTGTTATAAATAATAAATAATATATATATATTTTGTTATAAATATAATAAAGAAATTCATAATCCCAAACCAACATAAATAAATGAATTAACAAATGGGGAGTAGAGCTTTTTCAAATAATAGAGTGCTAGTTAATAAATGTTAAAGGAATGACTGGATTAGAAATATCAGCATTTGGCAGCTGGCCTAGTAATCATTCATTCAATCAAGAAACAGCAGTTGCCAGGTGTGGTGGTGCACATCTGTAATCCCAGCAGCTCGGGAGGCAGGAGGATCGTGAGTTCAAAGTCAGTCTCAGAAACTTAGTGAGACCCTCCCTATCTCTAAATAAATAAAATTAAAAAGACTGGGGATGTGACTCAGCAGTTAAGTGCCTTGGATTCAATCTCTGGTACCAAAAAAAGGAAAAAAAAAAAAAAAAAAAAAGAAGGAACAGCAATGGATACTGAGAGACCCTGGAACCAGTGGGTGGACTTTTTATGAGGACGAGGATATTGACATAGTTTCAAAGATCTCCCTACAAAAAACTTATTAAGTGCAAAAGGAGAAAAAAGTAACTTTCTGTGGAAAAACTTGGCAGTTACTAGCATACAGTGTTCAAAGTTAAAATTAAACCTGTGCTTTCTGATTTGATGCAACAAAAATTCAACAGCACCACTTCTGCAATATTCCTTCCCCAAAGGAGTGACCTGAATCTCGGGATGAGCAAATATCAGACAAACCCAACTGATGGACGTTCTACTCATTAACTGGACATCCTCACATGAGTATTAAGGAAAGAACTGGGGAYCAGTGGCTAAAGAGCCAAGGCAAATAAAAGGAACGTATGAGAATCTGGACTGGACCTTTTTATCATAAAAGATGTAACTGCGGTCATTGGTGACCCTCGACTTGGATCTGAAGGTCACATGGTAGACCTGTGTCAGTGTTGCTTTCTAAATTTGATGGTTGTATTGGGGTTACAGAGGAGAATGTCCTTATTTGTAGGTATGAGGGGTGGGCTGGGGTGTGACTCAGTGGTAGTGTAGCATGAGTGAGATCCTGGGCTCCATCCCCAGTACCCCTCCCATAAATAAAAATGAAAAAAGAAAATATTCAGGGACAATGAGGCACCATTAGCAATGTCCTCAAATGGTTCTTTGTTCTAACTTTTCTTTTGCTAAGTTTGAAATTCTATCAAAACAGAAGGTACAGGGATTTGTGGCTCAGTGGTAGAGTGCTTGCCTAGCATGTGTGAGGTACTGGGTTCGATTCTCAGTACTGCATGTAAATAAATAAAGGTTCATTGACAATTAAAAAAAGAAGGTAAAAAAATGAAAGCAGGTTATTACCTCTCTTCATTAAGAAAGAAAATTTTTCTAAAGAAGCACCTGATGGAGAAGCCCCTGACCACTGCTGAGCCCTTTCTCTCACTGAAAAGGATGCTGGGAAAGCAATGGGAAGGGGAGCAGGGGTGTAGACAGGCTGCACACAGGCAGCCACCAGTGTCCCCCCTCAGTCTGGAATCTTTATGTTTGGTCTTGACCATTTGGGAATACAGCACCATTAGTATCACTATGTCCACCTTATAGCATCCACAGTAGCTATAATTTTTTGTGCTAGGCAAGTGCTCCACCACTGAACGCCAACCCCAGTCCAACAGAGGGAGCTATTTAAGAAAAAGATCCCTGGGGTCTGGACTGAGCATCTAGGACTCATGTCATTTGATCCTCATATCCCCAGTGGAAAATAATTTTTTTTTTTTTTTTGGTACCAGGGGTTGAATCCAGGGGTGCTTAAGCACTGAGCCATTTCCCCAGCCAGTTTTAAAATATTTTATTTGGAGACAGGATCTCACTGAGTTGCTGAGGCTGGCTTTGAACCTGGGATCCTCCTGCCTTAGCCTCCCAAATGTGTGCCACCACGCCTGGCTGATTTTTTTGTTTTGTTTTGTTTTGTTTAGTAATTGTCGAAAGGAAGGAAATTAGATCAAGGGCTGAAAATACAGAGACCACAAGAGAGAGGTTAAAATCTGGCCTCAAGGTCTCTGACATTTGCTCACTCAATCAATGATCAGTTGGCAGTTTTTAAAATTGAGAGGTTTCTCATAAGTCCCTATTTTTTAAGAGCTATGCATACTGTTCCCATGTCCCCTGTGGCACCCTATGGTTGGGCTTAGGTGGATTTGTTTGAGAGCTGCCCACACTCTCTGGGTCCTACTTCCACAAGGGTTCAGTATCTGTCTAGGCTCCAAGGGCAGTTGGGTTGGGTCCCCGGCTAAAGAGAAGTTCCTCAGTTCCTGGGAGGCCACTTTCTGATGTGCCAGGAAATGGGAAGCTGTTTTCCATCAGTGATCTGGAAGTTTCTGTGATGGCAGGACAGGAGGGGGGGTCTCTGTCTGGGGAAATGTACATCCAACGGAAGTCCCGGGAGACACTTGATGAAGGGGCTCATGAGCATTTACCGCATTTCCTGCTAGCACCATCCTTGAGGAAGATGGGGTTAACTGGATGTTGCAAAATCACCGCTGTGTTGTAAATAATTGGATAAAGGTATCTGTAGACTTCATAAAACTTTTATTGATATGTTTTTTCATGCCAAAAATAGTTGTTTATTTAAAAATCCAAATTCCACTTGAAAGAAAGAGACAACAAGTGACAGTTGGGATCACAGCCTGTTCCCAGGGGAGCTCCCATGTCCAAAACACAGCTCACATCCTACAGCTACGTGACGGGCTCACTAGGGAGAGAACTGCATTCTGGGAAATTCCCCCTAGACTCCCTCTCCGGGTACCATCTATGTCTTTAGGAGGCTGTAGCTGGGAAACCACCACCACCACAAAAACAAACCATTCTAAGAGTTCTTAGAATATTTCTGRTTTTGCAACTACTGACCCTCAAGGATCCATCACCACTCAATCTAGAATATTCRTATATTCCCACTGGAAAAAAAAAGAAATCACTGTTTATGTTTCTTCCTGGCTGTCCCATCGGCTCCTGAGGATGGCCTCGGCTTCTCAGAGGGACCTGGTGGTTTCTGGCTGTGGGMGGGCTGCTCCTCAGGAGCGTTTGGACTTGCTGCAAGTGGGGCACAGGAGCTGGCCCTTGGTGACAATGTAGGCCCGGCCACTCAGCAGCTGCTCACAGCCCTCACAGACAAAGTGCTTCCGGTGCCAGGCCAGATCCTCCACGCGCTGGTAGTCCTCTGAGAAGATGATCTAGAAAGGGAAGCCGAAGACACACGACGGATCAAGTTTTGTCCCTAGGTGGAGACAGTGAACCCAGGGCCCGTTTGTGGGCTGGTGGTGCCTCCCATCCCATCTTGTTTTGACCTTTAAGTGCCTCAGTGGTGAAACCTGATGCAAATCTGATGTAGTCAGGGTACTATTTGGTGGCCTCTTAGCTTCTCAGATGGACAAAATAACAAAAAACTTTCTRTTAGAGACAGGTTTTTATTTATATGGCACCTGGGATGTTTGTGTGAAAAYGCAAAGGCTGGTTGAGACTGGATTCTGCATCCCCCTTGAGGATGAGGACAGTGCATGACAAATAAGCTGCCAGTCTTCAAGAGCAAGAATCCAGAGGGTCACTTGGGCTTGCAATAAAGTGACACTCTGGAACATACATACTCRAAGAGCCCCGAGGCCCAGGAAGAATGGAGTAACATGCTTAGAGACTTTGGTGTGAAAGAGGAATCAGGAATGAGCTTTCATATAGACACTTACCAGCTCCATGACTTTGGCCAAATTACTTTCCCTGAGCTTGAGCTTCCATGTTCGTAAAATGGGGACACATACATTTCCATGCCTAGGGTTTGTGAGTGCAAAATGAACCATGACACACGGAATGCTGGGGGAAGGGACTGGCCCAAAGTTTGACTTCTGTGTGGGTACCATCCACCTTTCTCAGCTGTCCTTTTCTCCTGTGTAAAATGCCTGCACCCCGATAGATAGTCTGTCTCTGGAGGATCACTGAGAGATAATAATGGCACATGATGCCTAAAGTACGGAGCAAATTATTGACGCCATTGTAAGTCTTCAAGGAATGATGGAGGGCTGGGGTTGTGGCTCAGTGGTAGAACGTCTGCCTAGCATGTGTGAGATGTTGGGTTTGATCCTCAGCACCACAAAAATAAATAAATAAATAAATAAATAAATAAATGTATTGTGTCCATCTACAACTAAAAAAAAAATGCTAAAAAAAACAAGATGATGGACAGCTGGGTGTGGTGACGTGGGAGGCGGAGGCAGGAGGATCAAAATTTCAAGGCCAGCCTCAGCAATTTAGTGAAGGCCCTAAGCAACCTAGTGAGAGCCTGTCTTAAAATARAAAAATAAAAAGGGCTGGGGACGTGGCTCAGTATACAGTGCCCCTGGAGTGCATCCCCAGTACAACAACAACAACAACATCAAAAAGAGAAGAGGGAGAATTGAGATTCTGAGTATCCTGTTGTCCCCTCGATAGTGAGGTGATGGGGTGCGCCTGCCACAGCCCTTTTCCTTCTTCATGTCACTCAGAAACAGTGCAAGCTTTTCCCTTCCTGTYGGGACCCACAGGTAGAAGGTGGCAGGAGATGGCAGACTTTGGCTCAGACCCTTGCCTGTGCCAGAGATGAGGGGAAGTGCGTCTTCCGCCTCCAAAGAACACACTGCTGTTGTAATCATATAGTTATCATTCTAGTTGTCATTATTKGTATACTGTCACGGCTCCTTTCATCTCCCCTACTGGAGCCTGGGCTCTCTCCGACGCCATCTTTGCATGTGGTGTTGTGTTCCAGTCGTTCTGCCATCTCACATTCCATCTCGTTCTATCATATGTCATGGTACTTCATGGTGAGACCAATAGCGGCTACCACTTATGAGCAGCCAGGTCAGGCCCCGTACAAGCATCTTCCTGGATTATCTCCTTTGTCCCCAKGGGGAAGGTCCTGTTCTCATTTAACGCTTTATAAATGACAAGGACTGAGGTGCAGGTGTTTGGGAAGCACAGGACTGATTTGGCCCAGGGGCCATCTGCCTCCTGTGTACCCCACAGCATTCTTCTGAGAACTCACTAAGTGCTGGACGGTGTGCCCAGGACAGGACCCCACAGGACTCTGGGTGACCCCTCCCAACCACCCATGGGAGGGAGCAAGTGTGAGTCCTGTTTGGCAGAGGAAGAAACGGGGGCCTTAGCGGGGGTCTACCTCGGTTTCCCAGTCTGGAGAGCGCATCCCCAGCAGAGCCACCAACCCCCAGGCCTCAGGTTCCCTCCCTCAACAGGGAGCAGCCCCTCTCCCCACCGGGCCCGCTGGTGCCCACCTCATCGCAGCCAGAGCACCGGGGCCGCAGGCTCTCGCAGTAGTGACGGCCACACCAGGGTGCCCCGTCCTTCCAGAAGTAGATGAGGTCCACCAGCGGCTCGGAGCACTTGACACACACGAAGCAGGCTGGGTGCCACTGCTTGCTGTAGCCTGCCCTGTCTGAGTAGACCACGGGGCTGTCGGCCGGGGCTGCTTCCTTGCAGAGCTCACAGAACTGGAAAGGTAGGAGAGAAGCACAACGATACAGGTAGTCAGGAAAGCCTGGTGACAGTGAGCTTGAATCCCACCCCTCGCCTATTTCCTGTGCAACTTTGGACAAGTTCATATACCTTTCTGTTCCTCAGTTTTATCACCCTCAAAGAAGGATAATTACATTGTCTACCTAATAGGTTATTTGAGAGGAGTAAATAAAATGCTGTAGCCCAAGAATTCTCAAATCATTTGGTCTCAGTATTCTTTGTATGGCAGAGATTATTGAGAGGTCCCAGTCCAGTTCTTGTTCATGTGGGTAACAGCTATTGCTATTTATCATAAGAGAAATAATAACAGAGAAACATTTAAATATCTATCCAATTAAAATGACCACCATGAACTTAAAGAACATGCTAACGTAGACATGTATTGCTAAAATAACTGGGTCTGGGAGTGCGCTCAGTGGTAGGGCGCTTGCCTTGCATGAGCAAAGTCCCTGGGTTTAATTTCCAGCATCACAAAAATAAGCACCACCCCCCTACCCAAAGCTATGTTTTCCAAAACTAAAAATTTAGTGAGAAGAAAAATTTAAAAACATTGTTTGGACGTTTTGCAAGTTCTCTTTAATGACTTAGGTAAGATGGCTGGATGCTTTTTTTTTTTTTTTTCAGTTGTACTGGACACAAACCTTTATTTGATTTATTTTGATGTGGTGCTGAGGATCAAACCCAATGCCTTACACATGTCAGTCAGGCAAGTGCTCTACCAATGAGCCACAACCCCAAGATGGCTAGATTCTCAGAGCTACGGTGGTGTTCCATCTTTTGTTTTACRTTCGTTTTGGTTGAAATATATGAAGGCTACCTGGCCTGACACTGATGGAAAGTTGGAAAAGGAAAAGAGGTGCCTTTTTGTAGCCTTCCCAGATAACTGTGGATAGCATTCTCTGGTAGCATGTCAGAATCAGACAGGAGATGGTTTCTCAAAAGTCACTTGCAGCTGGATGAAGCAGCACACGCCTGTAATCCCAGTGACTTGGGAGGCTGAGGCAGGAGGATTGAGAGTTCAAAGCCAGCCTCAGAAACTTAACAAGACCCTCAGCAATGTAGGAAGACCCTGTCTCAAAATAAAAAAAAAAAAAACAAAAAGGGCTGGGGCTGCGGATCAGTGGTTAAGTGCCCCTGGGTTCAATCCCCGGTACCGAAAAAAAAAAAGAAAAAAAAAATCAGTTGCAATGTGGAATCTGAGGCCTCTCAGTAGACCACTCACACTGGGTTACATTCTAATCTCTTGCTCTACCTTGCACTTTGAGTGGATCATTTATCATTGCATCATTATTTTTTTTGAAAAGCTTTTTAATTTTTATACAGTTTTAGATTTACAGGGGGAAAAAATGGTAAAAAGAGAGGATTCTTGTACCCTACACCAAATTTTTTTCTGTTCTTTACATTTTACATTAATATGGTATTAATACCATATTAATATGGTATTAATATGGTATTGGCACAACCAAACAATATTGTGCCACATCAAGTGCAGTACAGACTTTACTCAGATATGCTCTGATGTTACAGGTTTCTCCACTGTAAAGTGACTCAGTTTCCCCTCTCTGCACACTGTCCCCTTTGGAAGGAAGTYGTGTGCTGGAAAGAGTGCCCCACCTTCTCGAGTACCTACATGCTGCGTGCTTGGGTGTCTGAGGGATGTGCATCTGTCTCCTCCACCTAGTGATGGACTGGCCACAGGGGGTTGTCTGAAGGGCTAGGAGGGTCCCAGAGAGCGCATTCTGACCTGGCAAAGGAAGAGCTTCTGCATGGCTCAGAGAAGCAAAGCAGCTTCCCAGAGGCCTCGGGGCCCTGGCTCTCTCTGGTCCTCTTTGCATCGGGCACTCTGCCTTTCATTAGCAGTAACATTGCCACTGGCTGGCTCAGGAGCCCTAGTGGAACTCTCCTCCTGCTGCTCCCTGGCTGCAGTTCCTGTAAAGTTCCTGGGGAGGGCAAGAGAGCCCTGGAACCAGACTCCAGGACTCTGCCCTCTCTTCCCCAGGAGCAGAGAGAGCTACCAGAGTTCCTCTGTTGGTTCACTCCTTCACATGTTCATCCAACGCACATCTCTAAATTGCCTGTTTCCATCCTCTAAAGAATGGGAACATGACAGTTTTATCCTATTAAATCTTTTTCTTCTTCTTTAAATTTTATATTTTAATTTGTGCTGATTAGTTACACATGACAGCAGAATGCATTTTGACATACTGTACACAAATGGAGCACAACTTCTACTTCCTCTGGCTGAACATGGTGCTGAGTCGCACCAGTAGAGTAATCATACAGGTATATAGGGTAATAATGTCCATTGCATTCCACCATCCTTCCCTTCCCCACGCCCCTTTCCCTCTGCTCACTCCCCTTTGCACCATCCAAAGTTCCTTCATCCCCATCCCATTATGGATCAGCATCCGCTTATCAGAGAAGACATTTGGCTTTTGGTTTGGGGGGTTTGGTTTATTTCTGTTAGCATGATATTCTCTAGTTCTATCAATTTACCTGCAAATGTCATAATTTTGTTCTTCTTTAAGGCAGAGAAATATTCCACTGTGTATATATACTACATTTTCTTTATCCATTCATCTGTTGAAGATTGGTTCCATACTTTAGCTATTGTGAATTGAGGTGCTATAAACATTGATGTGGCTGTGTCACTGTAGTATGCTGATTGTAGGTCCTCTGAGTGGGATAGCTGGGTCAAATGGTGGTTCCATTCAAAGTTTTCTAAAGAATCTCATTCCTGCTTTCCAAAGTGGTTGCACCAATTTGCAGTCCCACCAGCAACGTGTGAGTGTGCCTTTTCCCCCACATCCTCGCCAATACTTATTGTTGCTTGTATTGCTCATAATTGCCATTCTGACTGGAGTGAGATGAAATCTTGGAGTAGTTTTGATTTGCATTTCTCTAATTGCTAGAGATGTTGAACATTTTTTTTCATATATTTGTTGATTGATTTTATATCTTCTTCTGAGAAGTGTCTGCACAGCTCCCTTTAAATCTTTGAGCCCCTCTGAGTCCTCTTCTGCTCCTGAAAGGCCCAGCAGTGATGACAGATTCTATGCCCTTAGTTCCGATCTGGGACCGGTACTCAGCTCAGGACTTGGCCCTCATTGCTAATACCCCAGATGCAAATCAAAGAATTATTTCTCCTCCTAGAGTTATCTCCACATTAGGAAAATCATTATATTCCCCCTTAGAGATGGCAAAACTGAGGTTCAGAGAGATCCAGGATCAGATTCCTAGCACAAGGGACAGAAGGCAGAGCTGGGGGTTGGAGGGCCACGTCTGCATTCCGTCTTTTGTATTACGTTGGTTTTGGGTGAAATAAAACCTGACTCCAAAGCCAAGTTCTCTCTACCACATCTCGTGGCTTTTACATCCTGATCCGTAAATGACACCCTGGCACTCTTCAAGGAAGTGACACATTTTCCCCCCCCCCCCCCCGCCCCAAAAGAATCTGGCTCTTCTCATTAGTAGATCTAGATTTCAAGACTAAAATACATTGAATGATTGCTGTATTTTTAATTTCATCTATAAAAATCTTGTAAAAATTTGTTTTATTATGTAAGGCGCTTACAGGATGCCATTAATTTGGGCTGGTGACTCACAGTGCCTGAAATATTTACTACCCGACCATCTACAGAAAATATTTGTTGACCTTGGACTTGAGATGATAATTTTAACTTACTAAGCACCAACTATGGTGTCAGCCAAAATAGAAATGGTCATTATTTTTCTTTGTGCATATAGGGAGGTAAATGTTAAAGAGTTTGCTGAAGTTCCGATGGGGAGTGTTCCCCAGGGACGAGTGTTAAAGGCTTTGTCCCAACCTATAGTGCCACCGGGAGGTGGCAGAACCTCTAGGAGGTAGAACCTGGTGGACATAAGTTCAGTCACTGGGGAGGGGATATTGGGACCACAGTCTCTTCTTCTTTCTCTGTTTCCTGGCTGCTGTGAGGTGGGAAGCTTTGCCCTGTCACCCATTCTCGCCCTGATGTACTGTCTCACACAGACACAAAACCAGTCACACTGACCAGGCCCGAGACGTCTGAATCCAGGATCCACAATAACCCTTTCCTTCTTATAAGTGGATTATCTCAGGTGTTAGTGACAGTAACAGAAAGCTGGCTTGACACAGAGCTCGGACACTAGCCAATGTTCTCACCTGGTGTCATTTCCATGTTTATCATACTTGTGTATATGAAAGAGGACAGAAAGATGAAAATGGTGGAAATCGGGGCAAGAAAACCATGTGACAAAGAGCAGCCTTGTACACGCATCTGACCCCGAGCCGAGTAGCAGCCGTAAAACAGATGTCTAGACACGGAACGTGTCTGCTGAGCTGGGAGGGTCCTCTGGCTCCATCCTCTCTGCCTGATAAGGCCCCTCAGAACATGCTAGACTTGCGGTTTCCGTTCCGCCCACGGGAGCAGAGGGCGTCCGTCCCTCACCTAAATGAAATCTCTGTTGCTCCTGCCGGAGCCCTGCCGGCCTGGAACTCGTCAGAGGGTCTGAACCAGAAACAAGTGATGAGTCAGCACCCATTCATGGCCACCAGCCCCGCCGCCGCCGCCGCCAAGCTGGGGATTGTCAACGATTTGGCAGGGACGGTTCAGAGTACAAAGTGAGCTTTCTGTCTGTCTGGCTTCTAAGTTTCACAGAGTGAAGTTCRCAGCCCTTTTCCTCCTACACAGAAGGGACTCACTGGCCCACGAAATTACACCCAGGTGGTAGCACTCCAGGACTCCAGATGTGGCTGAATATGGAAGTAAGTGGAAGCAGAGGGCCATGAAAACACCTGGATTTGTCACCGTGGCACATGGACAGGCACCCTTAGAAGGGAGTCCGGGAAACAAGGCCCCAAAGACAGCCTGGGTGATGGCAGGTCAATTCGAATCCCTGGTATGAGTTGGAACTTCACTCTGGAGGCCATAGGGAGCCACTGCAGGTCTTTGAGGGGAGGAGTGGCTGGGAGAGA